CCCGGCCAGCCGCAGGGCCTGTGGACTGCGGCGCCCGCCGCGCAGCCGCCCGCCTGGCCTGCCGCCGTCTCGCAGCAGGCCACGGCACAACAGAAGGCCAACGTGACCATGGAGGCAGAGAGATGAGGCCGCGGCGGAGAGCGAACACGGCGAGGACCCCTGCGTATATATATATATGAATATATATATACATATTTTTTTCCCCCCCCTCCCCAAAGAGGAGAGGAGCTCTTCTGCCAGGGCGTCTGGCAGCCACAGAGACACACGAGCAAATAGCTGCCTTGCATGGGTTTGGTTTGAAGTAGTTTTTAACTTGTCCTAGAGCTGAACGGAGCTTCCCCGGAGACAGCAGGAGGCTGCGCGGGACGCGAGGCCGGCGCTGGCCTCCGCCCGGAGCCCGGCGCTGCGGGGCTCTGCGGGGCGGCCCCTCTGCTCCCGCGGGACGCTGGAGTTTGCATGCGAGTGACGCCTGCGGAGGACGTCCCTTGGTCACGGTCCCCCTCCCTGCCCGTGCCAGCCGGGCTGCCGCGCGGAAGGGGTCGCGCCCGAGCCCGTTCCCCGCTCCTTGCCCCCACATATGTGGGGCAGGGGACAGACACCCCATGTGTTTTTTCTTTGTAAGGGGGGGAACAAGAGAGCAACCAYTCGTGCTCCGCCACGGCCTCCGCCCCGCCCGTGCCACGCTCGCCCGTGAGCAGCACCCAGGGGTGCCAGCTCCTGGGGAGCTGCTGAGCCCCTGGTTTGCTGGGGAGCAGCCCCCGGGGCCAGCCCCCCCTGCCCTCGCCTGCTGGGGGCTGTTTGCATGACACAGTGTAACCCTAGAGACTGGGCTCGTTTTTAACCCCTCTGTTCTTTTCTCCCGGTGGCTGAAAGTCTACCCAGACGCGCCGCAGCCGCTTGCAATACACGCTCTTCTGCTTTGAACCCCGTCTCCTTGCTTGGTTTGCAGCAGCGGTCCAGGATGGCGCAGGATCCCTTTTCCACAGCAACAGAGCTGGGGCCGGTGTCTCTCCGCCTCCGAACTGTCCCTGAGCTGCTGCAAAGAGCCTGGCCCAGCTGCCTGGTGCCCGCGGTGCTTCAGGGCAGGTGCGTGCAGGGCTCAGCCCCAGCCCCATCACATCACCAGGGGCTGGAGGTGGCAGCGCAGAGCCAGACTGGCAGCAACATGGGGAGCTTGAGGCCCGCACGGCCCAGGGGTCTCGCCTGGCTCCCAGCCCCAGAGCTCCCTGCGTGCCAGTCAATACTTAATTCCCATCCCTTTTTWTGGGTTGCTGGAATAAATGTCCCATGAGCAATGGCTGCAAGAGAGCAGGGGCTGCATCTCCCCGCTGCTTTTGGATGGCACCRATGGCGGCTGATGGCAAAGGCCAGAGCAGGGGCCTCAGCCCTGTCCTAGGGGACTCATCGGGCCAAGAGGTTGGAGCTGCAGCTGATGGGCAACAGGTCCCAGCCAAGTGGGTTCCGGCCAGCACAGGAGCAGGGAGGGTGCAAGATGCCACCCCTCGCTGCAGCAGTGGTGGCACTGGGGAGACACAGGAGAGGGAGTTATCTGTTCTTGGGGGGACGTGACTACTACTGCCACTGAAGTGCAGGTGAAGGCCAAGGCCACCAAGCATAGGGACCATGGATGGAGGGGGAGAGGCCAGTGAGCCAGGGCAGTTTGTGACTATCCCAAGTCCACCCAGAGGGAGGGGAWGGAAAAATCCCACGCCCTGGAGGCTGGGCTGGCCAGAGGGAGCATTGAGGGACATGGCAGAACCCGAAAGCAGAAGGAACCAGTGGAAGACAGTGGCTGTGGCAGGGTGGGCACTCTCTCCGCTGCTTGAGCGCCCCAACTTTGCCCAGGCCCTGCAGCCACACTGGTGCTCCCCACATAGCAAAGCTCGCCCGGGCCATAGCTCCGAGCATGTCCCAACCAGCAAATCCAAGGACCAYGCGGGAAGCAACAAAGCAGGGAGCATCTTTATGGCCCGCAGAGCCACCCTGCTGCAAGGAGCAGCCGCAAGAGGAACCTGGAGGCAGAGGCTGGGCCAAGGCAGAGGAGAGGCCAGGCAGGGCCGGGGACAGGCCCTGGGGTGCAGGGCCACCTCTCCCTGGCCTCGCCACTTCTGGTATCCCCACGCTGTCCCCCTTGTGACGGTGCTGGGGCCAGCGGGCCGGGCCGTGCTGCTCTTGGGCCGGCTCAGACACCCGGGACGTCCTGGTGCCGGCCTCCCGAGGACGGGGCCCTGGCCCGCAGGGCAGCGCCTGGCAGCAGGGAGAGCAGCCACGTGTGGGGCAGTGCCCCGTGCAGGGCACCGCTGTCTGTGCGACGCTCAGGAGGCAGGAGGGGACCGCGGCTGCTGCGACTCACATGAATACGGGGACACGTAGTGGCTGCCRTACTTGGCCGGGCGCATCTTCTCCATGGCCTGCCGGGAGGGAGGCTTGAAGGTCTTCATCCCTATGGGATAAAGGAGGGAGGTGTGAGTGGCTGGGACACACGGGCAGCCACTGCCCTCTGCCCGGAGCTGAGGCAGAGCTGATGGCTGCAGGGCCAAGCTTTGGCAGCACAAACAGGACCTACTGGCTCCAGCCATCCCGGCAGGAGGTCATGCAGCCTCCAGTGCATGCAGGAGGTGATGCAGCCTCCAGCGCTCCAGCACTGCCTCCTTACCTGGGAAATCTCCTTCCATGCCAACAATCCTGGTGGTGGCCCCTGAGCACAGTCTGCCCTTGTACAGCACCCCATTGATGCCCAAAATATCCACTTCAGTCTAGAGGGAAGAAGAGCCAGTGGCATRGGCTGGGCCTAGAGGCCGTGCCTGGCCCCCGGGCTCAGTGGCTTTGCAGAGCACGAGGCCACAAGGACACATGGGGACACAGGGATGCGTGGGGATGCGCAGCCCCCGTGCTCACGTTCTCAGCAGTGAAGGCAGAGGGGTCTCTGTAGGGGCAGACGGTGCTGAAGGAGCTGGAGGTGAAGAGCTGCCCGGCAGGACTTGTGGCGCTCGCGTCRCCAGGCCAGCGCTGCGGTGCCGCACCGGCCCCCTGGGCGCTCCCGTCACCCTCCCTGGGGAGGACAGCACCAGCCGGTACCCATCCTGCTGCCCAGGAGCCGCCTGGTGCCCRGGGCTCGCTGTGCAGCGGGAAACTGCCCCGTGGGGCTCGTCCCTCTCCCAGGGAGGGGTGGCTGCAGCACGCTGGACCATTCCCAGGGCTGCATGGCACGAGCTGCCACGGCTGCACCGGGCTTGCCCTCACCGTGCCTGCGCCCGGCGCGCCAGGTACTCGTAGCCGTTGGCGCTGGCCGGCCGGGGACGTGTGGCCAGGTTGGATTTCCTGACGGTCACCAGCTGCCTGGGGACCGGGACGCAAACACCAAGTCAGGCAGTGGCCTCTAGTGGAAAAACAGCGTYGTGGTGCTGGTGTCCCCGGCGGGACTCACGGCCTGCGTGCCATYGTCAGCGGTCTGTCGCAGGAGATGCATTTCACCCGGTCAAAGAGCTGCCTGCAACACAGGGCAGGCGCTCAGGATGTGCCAGCRGTGGGTCAGGGACCCTGCGAGGGCCCATGTCCTTGTGCAAGGGGGGACAGACAGAGTTTGGGAAGATGCGACTTCTGCACAGAATGGGATGTGGTGGGATAGGATGGGACTATACAATGGGACAAGACAGGATGGGATGGGACAGGACTAGACAGGGTAGGATTGGAGGGGACAGGATGGATGATGGGATATGACAGGACAGAATGGGATGGAACAGATGGGAAGGGATGGGCTAGGACTGATAGCAGGAAATAGGACAGGATGGGATGAAATGGAATGGATGGGCTAGGACAGAACAGGACAGGATGGGGTAGGATAGCACAGAGCAGGACAGAATGGGTTGGGAGAACATGGGTGGTGTGGATGTGGTGACATCCAGGACGGTCAGGCTGACACCCCCCAGCCCTCACTTTTTAAAACCAGCAGCGCTGCTGGCGTTGAAGGGGGGGCCTTGGCGCAGGTACTTCTTGGTGAACCTCCAGACCCGCTCCAGCTGCGCCCGCAGCGGGTCCAGCACCATGCGGTCCAGCTGAGGGAAGAGAACCAGGAGAGCAGTGCGCTCAGCCCGCCCCAGCACTGTCTGCCTGTTGAGCCAGGGCCACCTCAGGAGATGCTGCAGCCCCAGAGGGGTCCTGCGGGCTGGCTGATCCCTGAAGAATGCTGGGGGACACCCCAAAACAAGTGTGTCCCAACACACATAACCTTGTCTCTTGGTRCCAGCAGACTGGGGGTCCACCCTCTCTGCTCAGCAGAGAGAACAGAGGGGACTATTCCCCATTCTGCAGGAGCAGGGAGCCAGGGAACCTTGAGACTGCTCCAGTCCCTGCCACCCTTCCCGGGCAGTGTGGCTACCTTGGAGTCCATGTCACTGACGAGCTTCTCTAGAGCTTTCTGCCAGTCCTGGTCCTGCAGGGACATCTTCTGCAGCAGGTCCTGCATCATCTCGCTCAGCTGGGCTACGGCGCTCTGCAGCTCCTCCTGGCTCACTTTGGTTTCCAGCTCAGCCTTGTCTGCTTTCTAAGGGAAGGGCAGTGCCGGGGCTGCCCCTGCGACCCCAGCCCTGCCCCTGCCACGCACAGAGCTGCCACCAAATGCGCCCGGGGCAGGGGACAGCAGCTCTGCTACCTGCCAGCTCCTGCACCGGGCACAGCCACGCAGCAGGGTAGGTGCAGAGACAGTTCTCATGTTCCCCAGGGAAAGGCAGGGTGCCCAGGAGCCAGGGAGCAGAAATTTGGGGTGGCTTTTTTAGCTCTGAGTAGGGCCAGTGAGGAGATTGTCTTGGCTCCCATCTCCAGGGGGATGAGGTACCAGATAGTCAGGCTTGAGGAGCAAATAGCGCTGCTGCCACCTCACACACGTGCTGCAGAAGTCCCCAGGCCCTTTGGGGTGTTTCTACTCACGATGTCCATGCCCTGCTCCAGCTGGGCCTTGTCTGCCTTTCTCATGTCCAGATGTTCCACCATCTCACGTAGACTCTGCTCATGGGCAGTGCATCTATCAGCGAGAGCCAACCACGCACCCCACCACTGCCCGGGGGGCACCCAGCAGCCCCCAGCCTCCCCCTGAGCCCACCGCTCACACMAGCACAGCCCCTGTCCACCAGGATGGCCCGGCAGCTCAATCCCCATGTGCCCCATTTCCCAGGGTTGCCCAGAGCACTTGGCCTAGCAGAAGACCCATGGCCAAGTGAAGCTCTCCCTTCCCACGGCACAGACTGTTTCTAGCCCAGTTTGGAGGCTAACCACAGCAGGAGCTGCTTTTGGAGCCCAGGACGCGCTCACCTGGACGTCCTCAGTGTCACTCCAGAGGCGCTCGGCAGCCTCCTGCAGCCGGGCGCACTGCTCCCGCAGCTGCCCCACTTGCTCCAGCACGTCCTTGCGGAAGTCCAGTGCCTGGGGAGGCCAAAAAGTGACCCCTGGTAAGGACAGTGGCCTGGATGAGGTGAGATGCTACGGGGATGCAGACGGGGGGACCTCAGGAGGGCACCGCAGTGCTACTTGCGGTGGGCAGGGTGCTGGGACTGCAGCCCCAGGGCCTGCCAGCACCTCCCAGCCAAGCCTTGCAGGCCGGGCACCTTTTCTTCTTCATCCTCCAGGTGCTGCACATCACTCTGCACCCGCTCCAGTTTGGCAGCTATATCATCCAGGCTGCCAATGGTGGCTGAAAACAGACAGCAAAGCTTCACTCCTGGGCTGCTGTGGATGCTGCAGGCTCCAGCACGGCACTGTCCTGGGTCAGGGTGCTCACCGTGCTGCTGCAGTCGGCTCTCCAGGTGGGTGACGCGGGCGCCCATGGCCTCGTGCTGCTCGGGCAGCAAGCTCAGCCTGCGCAGGGCCTGGCGGGCAGGCTCCTGCACGGCCTCCTCCTGCACATGGCCTTTCTGCAACAAAACAGCTTTGGAGCTCCAAGGGAGAGACAAAAACCCCACGGCCAAGGGCAYGGATGGCCCCACGCTGGGGGAGCTGCAGCCGGATGCCGCGTGCCCTGCGCACCTCGGGCAGCGCTGACCGACCCGCGCGCACCTCGCCGGCGAGCGCCTCGCTGAGCGCGCCCCAGCGCACCACGTCGGCCGGCCGCGGCACGGCGCCCAGCTCCCGCCGCACCTCCGCCTGCGCCGCGACACAGAGGCAGTGSGGTTACACGGAACAAACCTCGGGGCTGTGTCCAGCAGTGCCCCACACCAGCCTGAGCCCTCCAGTGCCCAAGGGCTGCTGTAAAACTGTTCTGCAGTGAAGTGAACACAGATCCCATAGGAAGAGCCCCACTAGGATAGATCCTCATCGGGACAGGTCAGCACTGCGCAGCTGAGCCCAGCACGGCTCTCCTGGGGCTGCGAGAGCCCTTAGGAGGCCCCAATATTTTTCACATGTACATTTACCAAGCCCTCACCCTGGACAGCAGCTTAGGGACATCCCAACTGGCAGGGTGCTCAGCGCCTCAGAGCACCAGGCACCAAGGCAGCTGGCTCAGATCCAGCCTGCCTGGCGCCTCCCCACTCACCATTTGGTCCAGGAGGCTCTGCAGGAGGTGACCGTGCTCGTCCAGCTGTCCCAAACGCTCTCGCAGATCCTCCAAGCCAGTCTGTCAAACAGAGGCACCGGCAGGGACTGGCATCAGCAGCAGGCAGCCCAGGCTAAAGCTGGACTCCACAGCTGCAGGCAGCCTCTGCCCAAAGCCCCAGGCTCCCTGGGCAGATTGTGCATCTCCCAGCTTAGCTCTGGAGCAGGAGGGAGCCTGGGCTTGAGATCTCACTCTCCATCACCCTGTTCCCCCTTGCTGGCCGTGCAGATCCCCAGTCTAGAGGAGCCCGACCCTTCTGCTTTCCAGCACCCAGCCTGGTCCCTGCACGCACCTTCTGCGAATTGTCCTTCAGGAGCTGCAGCTCCTCCTGGAAGGCCTCAACAGTGGTTTTCAGGGAGCATATGGTGGTGAGCAGCTCCTGCAGTGTGTCCATGGCCTGAGAAATACAGGCAGACATAGGGAAATAGGGGTAGCTGTTTCAAAGGAAGAGATTTATTGAGTGAGGAAGATGGATTTCACATGTTACATTTCTGACTCATCGTCTAAACATCAACAGCCAAATAAATTGAACCTGCAGCGTGTGAACACCTGCAGGAGTTCRCAGGTGCCGCTCTCCTTGCAGCTCAGTAATGCCGCAAAGAGCTAAGAAAAGGACCGTGTCTGGGGCACTGTGGCCCTGCCAGGAGAGCTGAGGGCTGGGTGCTCCAGCCAGCGCCATCCCACCCCTCGGGTCCCAGGCCCAGTGCAGGGTCCTAGCAGGGGCTGCAGCATAGGGGCTGCAGAGGCACRGGATGGGGACAGGAGGGAGAGGTGCTGGCACCCAGCGACACTGTACACCAAAGTGCCCCGCTTTGAGCCTGGTCCTGCTGGAGCACAACAAGGGCAACACTTGCTAGGGGCTGGAGGGGACCTAAGAGCAAATACCACTAGAGCCTCCATGGCAGCTGAGAAATGACCAAACCCATCCAAAACACTACTCATTAATGAGCCCCAGGGAAGGAGTTAGGCCCATCTACGCCAGACCATGGCTGCAGAAACGTGCAGGTCCAGATGCCCACCAGCAAGCCAGCCGGCCATGTCCCCATGGAGGGACCCRAGGGGACAGCCATCTCACCTTCGTCACTCCCTCCTCATTCATTTCCACCTTCTTCTTCAGCTGCATCATTTGCCACATGGCGCTGGCCGGCTTGCCCGGCACCTGGCTTTGGGCCAGCAGCTCCGCGGTGGACGGGGGCCCATCAAGGTGTCTCAGTTGGCTCTCGACCCTCCCCAGCCGCAGCTGGATCTCATGGAAGAGGGAGCTCCTGCCCTCGGCGGCCTTGGCCAGGGCCACGCCGGCCGCGGGCTTGAGAAACTCGCGCTCCTCCTCGGAGACCTGGGCGGCCACGTCCCGCAGGTGCAGGTGCTCCAGGATGCCGCGCAGCAGCACGTGCAGGGCGTTGAAGTTGACGCTGCCGATGTCGGGTGTGCCGATGGCCAGGTCGGCCAGCTCGGCCAGCGTGAAGGAGCAGCTCATGGCGCCTGCCCCGGAGCCGCCACGGGCGCTGGTGGCCGCGGGGATCGCCGAGGACGCGGCCCAGCAGCAGTCTCCTCAGCGGCGCATGGCTGTCGGTGGCCTCCGGCCAAGAGTTCCCGCTGGTTGCCAGGGGGCCGGCGTCACGGCAAGGGGACGCGCAGAGAGACACGCAGAGCCCGGACGCTCTCCTGCCTCGGCTGAGGTCACAGCGCCGTTACCTGGAGATGGCACCGGGATTCTGGGGTTCTGTCTCGTTGCCAACACATGGGATGGGTACCGGGGCCTCCAGGTGAAACCTCCAACCCATGCGTGTGTGTTTTTTTTATTATTATTATTATTATTTTTTTACTATTTTCCCGCCTCGTGGCCCCTTGGGCCGTTGCGGGGCTGCAGGCAGAGCGAGGGGCGCCGCCAAGGCGGCCGCGGCGCCCGGCCCGTCGCCTCGCCGGTGACACCGGAGCCGCCGGCGCC